GACATCGATCGATCCGGTGGTCGCGCGACGACGACGACGACGACGACGACGACGACGACGCGTCATCGCTCGTTCACGTCCTCCGCGAGCGCGCTCATGGCGAAGCCCGGACGCATCGGGCGGTACCAGCTGCTGCGGCCGTGGCAGTTCGAGACGATGGGGATCGCGCGACCGCACGAGCTGCCGAAGCGACAGCGCGTCGGCGCGCTCGCCGTGAAGGTGGGCATGACGCAGGAGTGGAACGAGCACGGCGCGCGCGTGCCGCTGACCGTGCTGTGGATCGACGAGTGCGAGGTGCGCGCGCGGCCCGGCGACCGGCGACCGGCGACCGGCGACGATGGTCCCCCGACGTCGTCTTCCTCGCGATCGGTCGATCGCTCCCGCGGCGGTAACCCTAATCGCATTCATTCATCTTCTCCCGCGCCCGCCGACGACCCTCGCCTAAACGACGAAACGCCCCCATTCCTCCCCAACTCCACCCCGCCCAACCCGCGCCACCCAGGTCGTCCAAGCGAAGACCCCGGAGAAGGAGGGCTACGCCGCGCTGCAGATGGGCGCCGGGAGCAAGAAGCGGAAGCAGATCACGGGCGCCGAGTACGGCCACTTCGCGGCTCGAGGCGTGCAGATCAAACGCGAGCTCTCCGAGTTCAGGGTCACCCCCGACGCGATCCTGCCCGTGGGGACGGTCGTCGACGCGTCGCACTTCCTCGCCGGTCAGTACGTCGATATCCAGGGCAAGACGATCGGGAAGGGGTTCCAAGGTCCGATGAAGCGGTGGGGCTTCGCGGGGTTACCCGCGTCGCACGGCACGACGAAGAAACACCGCGCGCACGGCTCCATCGGCAACTCGCAAGACCCCGGCCGCGTGTGGAAGGGGAAGAAGATGGCCGGGCAGATGGGGAACCGCACGCGGACGGTGCAGAACTGTTTCGTGTACAGGGTGGACCCGGAGCGGAACCTCATCTACGTCGTCGGGCAGGTGCCGGGAAAGCGGGGGAACTTTGTGCGCGTGAAGGACGCGCTACGAAAAGGGGACCCGACGGGGTGCGTCCCCGACGGCGCGCCGTATCCGGCGTGGGGGTTCGGGGCGTTCGAGGGGAGGGAGAGACCGACCGCGGCGACGACCGCGGTGATGCCGCCGCCGTTCCCGATGCAGGAGTCGTCGCAGGAGGCGTAGGAGGGATGAGGCGAGGAACGGAGCGAGAAGGTTCGGGTCGCTCGTCGACGGGACGAGAGGACGGGACCTCGATCGCCGGAATAATAATTACGGATGTAATACAACCAACGCGTCGTAGTCGTCGCGCGTCGCTAATCACTCGTCGTCGCCGTCCTCCCCCTTCAGCGCGGAGATCAGCGCCGGCTTTAAGTCCTCGTAAACTTTCGTCAAAACCGCAGCCTTGTACGTCAAAAACCCCAACAACACCGGCCCGTAGTTGAAGTCGAACGGCGCGTCGAGCTTATTAAACGTCGTCGCGAAAACGACGAGGAACACCGGCACGAGCAACCGCTTCTGAAGCAGCGCCTGCGAGTACACCGCGCCAACCTTACCGAACGCGCCGCCGAGCATCGCGCCGACGTCCGTGACCGGCTCGTACACCAAGTTCACCGCGTAGTAGTCCTCCTCGTCATCTTCCTTCTCCTTCAGCGAGTCGACGTAGCGCCCGAGAAGGATCAAGTACGCGAGACTTCCCGCGACGCCGAGGCCGGCGCTGAGGCCGGACGCGAGCCCGTACCCGAGCGTGGCGTACGCCGTGAGCCCGGCGCCGTACATCCCCGTGCGCGTCAGGAGCCATCGCTTCAGGTCTTCGTACTCCGCGGCGCTGAGGTCTTTTCGGCGGAACTGCTCGGGGATGCCGCCGTTGTCGGACGCGTTTCGCATCGCGAGGCGCGCGCCTCTTCCCGCGGGCGTCGCGGCGGCGGCGGCGGCGCGGCGCGGGCGCGGAGACGCGGACGGCGGCGCGGACGCCGTCGACGGCGACGCCGCGCGGCAGCGGCGGCACGCGCACGCGCGCGAGTGCGAACGCGACGGCGCGATCGTGGAGGAGGAGGAGGAGGAGGAGGACGCGCGCGTCGTCGCGACGCCGCCGCGAATCGTCGTCGCCGCCGTCGCATTCTCCCGATCCGCGGACCGTGCACGACGACGCGACGAGAGGTCTCCGCGCGGGCGCGCGCGCGACGACGCCGCGACGGGGGCGCACAGGATGGCCGACATGAACGACGACGCGAAGGCGCGCGCGCGACGCGAGGAGCGCGCGCGGAGTGGAGTGGAGCGCGCCCGTGCCCTCGCTCGCGAAAACCTCAACCTTCTGCTGTTCGATGTTCCCGTCGCAGATAAGACGACCGCTACCGGCGACGACGAGGTCGACGTCGTCAGAGCGCGAGCGCCCGTCGCCCGCGCGCCAAACCTTCCCGCCGCTATGACCACCCTCGCGATGTCCCGCGCCGCGCCGTCGACCGCGCGCCTCGCCGCGCGCGGCGACGCGACGCCCGCGGCCGCGACGCGCGGCCGCCACCGCGCGTCCTCTCCGTCGCATCTTCCGAGAGGGACGATGACGACGACAGATCGCGTCTCGTCCTCCTCCGAGACGTCGTCGTCGTCGTCGTCCTCCTCCTCCTCCTCCTCCGCCGCCGCCGCCTCGTTCGAATCGTCGTGGCGCGCGCGGTGCGCCGCGCTCGCCGCCGCGGTCGCGGTGACCTCCTCCTCCGTCGCCGCGCCCTTCCTCCTCGCGCCGCCCGCCGCGCGCGCGGACTACGGCGAGGAGCTCCAGGCGCCGTCCATCATGAACCTCAAGCTCAAGCCGCGCGAGCAGGAGGTGATCCTCGAGACGAAGGCGGAGCACGTCAACGAGGACTTCTCGCACAGCGACCTCGTGGGCGCGATATACACCGAGGGCGACCTCCGCGGGAGCGACTTCAGGTGCGTTCTATCTCGCACTGGTCCCCATACGACCGCGTCGGCGTGGTGAACGCGATTCCTTAAGGACTTTCGCCGGCGTGTCTCTCCGCCCACCCCTCGCTTTCAATACCCGCCCTCGATGCCTTTCAACTCCAACTGACGCCTTTGAACTCCACCCCGACAATCGCTCGTATGGAACGGCCCTTCAGCGGCAGCGATCTGCGCGCGGCGATCTTCTCGCGCGCGATCATGCCGGGCGTGAACCTCGAGGGGTCGGACATGCAGAACGCGTTTCTCGACTACGTCGTCCTGCGCGGCGCCAACATGCGCGGCGTGATCGCGTCCGGCGCGAACTTCGTTCGGAGCGACCTCGGGGACGTGGACGTCACGAACGCGGACTTCACCGAGGCGGTGATCGATCGGTATCAGGCGCGTTCTATCTCACACTGGTCCCCATACGACCCCGTCGGCGTGGTGAACGCCGATCCTTAAGGACTTTCTCTCCCGTCGTCTCTCTCCGCCCACTCCTCGCTTTCAATCCCCGCCCTCGACGTCTTTCAACTCCGCTTCTGACGCCGTTGAACTCCACCCCGACGTTCGCTTTGTATGGAACGACCCTCAGGCGATACAGCTGTGCGACGGCGCGAGCGGCGTGAACGAATTCACCGGCGTGGACACGCGCGACTCGTTGGGGTGCGATCGTCTGAAGCGGTACGAGGGGTTCAACAAGGAGAACGACAAGGTGAAGGTGTCGAAAGAGAGCGGGACGTGGGGGGGCGGGAAGTGATGAGAAAGCGACGCGACGACGAGTTACGACAAGTTACGATGAGTTAAGTTAATTTACGCTTCCGTCACGCGGGAGCGACGACCATGTCGAGCAGCTTCGCGATCTTCTGATCGTTCCGCGCGATCGCAGCCTTCACGCCGTCGATCGCCCGGCGCATCTCCGCGATCTCCTCGTCCGCCTCCTCGACGCGTCGGTCCGCCTTCGTCGCCGTCTCGCTCTTCGCCGCGCGCGCCTCTCTCACCGCTCTGGCGTGCGTCTCTCGCTCCCTCCGCCAAAACTCCGACTCCTTCCGCATGCTCTCCGCGTCCTCCTTGAGCGCGTCGACGGCTTTCCCGAGCGGGTTCGTCGACTGCACGAGCGCCTGGACGGCGTCTCTGATCTTCTGGACGTCGACGACGCGGCCGCCGCCGCCGCCGGCGGCGGCGGAGGACGACGGGTGCGTCTCGTCGCGGCGGCGGCGCGTCTCCGCCGCCGCCGCCGCCGAAGACGACGGCGACGGCTCGCCCGCCCACGACGAGCTCGGCTCCTCCTCCGCCGCCGCCGGCGCGGTGGTCTTCTTCCGCCTTCGACTACCCAATATGATCCCCGTCTCCTTCGCGCCGCCGCCGCCGCCGTCGCGGTCCCGCGCCGCGGCGTCGTCGCCGTCTCTCTTCGCTTTGATGATGTCTCGTACCAACGCGCCGCCGCCGCCGCCGCCGCCGCCGCCCGCGTCTCGATCCTCCCGCAGCCTTCTCTCGCTCGCTTTCGAGACGATGTCCTCGTCGACGACGACGATCTCGTCGTCGTCGGAGCTCATCCCGTCGTCGCCCTCGCCCATGACCGCCGCGGCGAACGCGGACGCGGACGCGGTCGCGGCGGACGGCGGCCGCGTCGTCGTCGCCGCCGCCGCCGCCGCGTCGTCGTCGACGACGACGTTGGACGCGCGCTTCGGCGGCGCGCGACGCGCGGACTGCGGCCGCGCGGGCGCTCTGTTGACGCGCGCCGGCGCCGCCGCCTCGACCGGGGACTCCGGGGGCGTCGCGCCGGCGTACGGGTCGTGCGCGGGCGGCGGCGGCGGCGCGGGCGCGGCGCGAACCGACGGCGGCGGCGGCGACGGCGGCGACGGCGACGGCGACCGCTCCCTCTCCGTCCGCCGCGGCGGCGGCGACGGCGACCGCTCCCTCGCCGCCGGTGACGGTTGACGTTCCTCCTTCTTCCTCTCGGCGGGGGGCGCGCCGCCCCCGGGGGCGACTTCGCCGCGTCGACATCGCGCCACCGCGTCCGCGTCTTCGCCGCGCGCGGCGACGCGCGCGAGCGCCTGCAAAAACGCGTTCGTCCGCTCCGGCTCCAACCCGGCCACCACCTTTAACGGCCGCGTCGGGAGCGTTACCCCGGACGATATCCCGACGCAGTTGAAGATCTTGGTCAGGTACGCCACCTTCGCGTCCTTGTCTTTGATCGCCTTGGCGTCGAGCTCCGCGCCCTCGAACAGCCCGTCGGCGTATCGAGTGTTACGCGTCACCTCGGAGACGACGTCGTGCAGGAACCGGAACGGCGGCTTCTTCAGGAGCGCCTCCGTGAGCTGCGCGCGGGGAGGGACGGAGGGCGCGTAGTGGGCGGGGAGTGGGGAGGGGGCGGTGAGATGGACGGCGACGGGGCGAGGACGCCGCTGACGGCGGGCGCGCGGGCGGGGCGAAAGTCAAACGATCCCTGACGCGCGAGATCCGTCCACCGTCCAGCGCGAGAGAGAGAGGAGAGAGAGACGCGCGCGTCCCTCGTCGACGCGAAGGCGAGCGCGCGCGTCGCACCTTGGGCTTCCTCACGAGCGGCGACGCCCCCTGCAGGAGCTCCTGCGTGACCTCCCAGTACTCCCCCATCGCGCCCGGGCGTCGCGCGCCGACGTGTGCGCGGCGACGCGACGCGACGCCCGCGCCAACTCTCATCTTTCAAAACGGCCCGACGCCGCCGCCGCGCGGCGCGTGTCAGCGGCGCAGCGCGCCGTCGATTTCGTCGGGCGGAGCGCGATTGCCGCGCCGCGGCGCGCCACTCCGAGCGCCGCCGCGGCGGAGGCACCCGCGCGCGCGCCCCGCGATGCCCACGCCGAAGAAGCGCACGCCGAAGACGCGCGCGGGCCGCGCCGCCGCGGGGCTCAGCCTCGCGTCGCTCATGTCGACGGCGCCGACGACGGAGCTGGACGACGACGTCTTCGACCCGAGCGGCGGCGCGACGACGGCGTCGACCGCGAGGCGCGACGACGACGACGACGACGACGACGACGGCGCGTCGCCGTCCTCCTCCGACGGCTTCGGCGGCGATGACGACGACGACGACGACGCGGGAGGACGTCGCGGCGACGACGACGACGGCGTGTTCGCGCCGACGAGGGAGGACGCGCGCGCGGCGGCGGCGAGCGGAAAGGGGAGACTCCGAATGCGCGGAGACATCGCGCTGACGCGCGGGGAGTACGCGGGGAAGAGCTCGACGAGACGCGCGATCGAGGAGGCGTGGGAGGGCGGCGGCGGCGAAGGCGACGATGATGAAGAGGAGGAGGACGAGAGCGAGGAGGAGGAGGAGGAGGACGCGTCCGACGCGTCCGTCGAGGACGAGGACGAGGAAGAGGAAGAGGAGGAAGATCTCGACGGGGAGGAAGCGTCCGACGACGACGCGTCGGAAGAGGAGGACGTGGACGAAGACGACGGCGCGATGGCGCTCGCGGGGGGATACGGAGACGGCGGCGGCGACGACGAGATGGACCTCGACGACGACGACGACGACGACGACGACGACGACGACGACGACGACGCCGACGACGCCGCCGACGCCGCCGACGACGACGACGACCTCGCCGCGGAACTCGACGCGCACAGACGCGAGGAACGAGAGGCGAACCGCCTCGCGGCGACCAAGTCGCAGAACGCGCTCAAAGCACAGGCGGTGACGCACCAGAACGCGCTCTGGGAGCGGTCGCTCCGATGCCGCATCGTGTTACAGCGCGCGATGCACGCGGCGGCGAAGCTGCCGACGCCGTCGTATCACGCCGCGATAACGCGCGACGACGAGGACGCGTTCGCGTCGTCGCGCGCGACGTCCGCGAGCGCGCGCGCGGCGCTGGGGGCGCTGCTGCGGCTGCAGGCGGCGCTGATCGATTCCAACCCCGCGATCGCGGCCGCCGCGGAGACGGGGGAGGGAGAGGGAGAGGGGAAAAAGAAACGGAAGACGCGCGCGGCGTCCGCGGCGATCGACGACGCGGTCGTCCGCGACGGGTCCGCGGACGACGTGTGGAAGCACGCGGACGCGATGTATCAGAGGTACGCCGCGTTCAGGGACGCGTCGTGCGACCGGTGGCACCGGAAGGCGGCTGCGCAGGTTGGGAAACTCGCCGGCGGCGGCGGCGGCGGCGGCGGCGGCGGCGGCGGCATGACGGCGTTCAACCAGAGCATCTCCGCGCAGGTCTCCAACGCGATGCGCGTGCCGGACCGGCTCGTCGAGCGGTCGCAGCCGCCGGCGCACCTCGCGCCACGACGCTACGGCGAGCCGCGGGAGAAGGAGGGAGCCGCGGGCGAGAAGGACGGATCCGCGGGGGGACCCGGGACGGGGAAAGAAAACGAAGGGGGGGTCGACGCGGACGACGAGGGGTTTGCCGTCGCCGCCGCCGCCGCGGCGATGCGCGAAGCGCGCGTCCCCGAGCTGTACGACGACGCGGACTTCTACGAGCAGGTGTTGAAAGAGTTCTTGGAGTCCGCGGGCGCCGGCGGCGCGGGGAGCGGCGGGAGCGGCCTCGCCGGTTTCGCCGCCGCGGCGAAACCGCCGAAGCGAAGAAAAATCGTCGACCGCCGCGCGTCCAAGGGCCGGAAGCTGCGGTATCACGTGCAGCAGAAGCTCGTGAACTTTTGCGCGCCGGTGGAGTTGGAGGTGCCGGAGTGGGCGGAGAAGGTGTTCGCGAGGCTGTTCGCGTCGAACGCGTGATGCGATGGACGCGAGGAAGGAAGGAAAGAAGGAAGGATGCGTTCGAGTCGTAATTTCTTTCTCTCTGTCGTAAAATGCAAATGCGTCGCATTCGGCTCGTTCTTTTCGTGTTCTCGTCGCGAGCGAAGGAACGTCGTTCGTTCGTTCGGTCCATCTATCTTTCGTTCGTTCTCTCTTCACATCGCACGTCGTGCGTCTCGTGTCGTGTCGTCGTATCGTCGTCGCGTCGTTTCATATCCCGACGGTTCACATCTCCGGCATGCACCCGGCTTCGAGGACGCACCCGAACGTCTCCTCCGTGGCGCCGCCGCGGTTGTTCAGCGCGCACTGAAGCGAACGTTCACCGGTAAGAAGTTGAAAGGGACCAGCCCAGCGCGATCGACCGTCGAAACCGAAGGGAGATGGACGACGGGCGAAATGCGATGAGGTGAAACGCGAGAACGGGAGGGAGGCTGTCCGGGGAGCGGTGGAAAAAAGAAACCCTAAACAACAGAACGCGCCTGAAACGCGCACATCCTCGACTCCGGGTCCGCGCCCATGCCGCACGCGAGCGCGCACTGCATCGCAGCCTTGCACTTCGCGTCCTTGCGGCACTTCGCGAGCTCCCAGCCGCACTCGCGCATCATGCACTTCGCCGCTTTGACGCCGCTGCCGGGGACCCAGCCGCCGTCGGAGTCGCCGCCGCCGCCGCCGCGGTGCTTCCACTCGCGACCGCCGCCGTGCTTCCACGAAGAAGACTCGGCGTCGCTGTCTTCGTCCGCGTCCATCTCCATCATCGGCATGGACTCGCCCTCGTCCATCTTCATCATCGGCATGGAATCGCCCTCGTCCATCTTCATCATCGGCATGGACTCGCCCTCGTCCATCTTCATCATCGGCATGGACTCGCCCTCGTCCATGGGCTTATCGTACGAGATGGACTCGTCGGAGTAGTCGCCGCCGCCGGCCGTTTCTTCCGTCGCGGGCGCGGCGTATTCGGAGGTTTCTTCTTCCATCGTCATCGGCATGGACTCGCCCTCGTCCATCGTCATCGGCGTCTTCTCGCGGATCATCTTCGCGTCCGTGGTGGTCTTCACGCCGCCGCCGTGGTGCTTCCACTTACCGCCGCCGCGGTGCTTCCAGTTACCGCCGCGCTCGCCGCGGCCCCAGGAGTGGCCTTTCTTCCACTTACCGTCGGGCTTCTTCCACCCGTCGCACGCGTCGCCGTCGCACCAGTCGTGGTCGGAGGACCAGTCTCCGCGCCAGTCCCAGTCGTGGCCGCCGCGCGCGCTCCAGTCCGCGTTCCACTTCGCGCGCGAAACCTCGCCCTTGCTCCAGTCGTGCTTCCATCCCTGACCCCACTTGGACCACCCCCAGAGCTTCGCGCCGACGCCCGCTTCCGCGGGCGTCGCGACGAGCGAGCACGCGAGCGCGAGCGCGACGCCGGCGACGGAGACGAGGCGCGTCGGCATGATGACGATCTCGTGTGCGTAGGAGTTCGGAGGTCGCGGGGCGTTCGAGGCGGGGAGGCGCGCGGGCGGGCGGATGTGGCGGCGGCGGCGGCGCGCGCAGTCTCACACCCTCGTTCGCTCGAACGTTCCGACGATACGCGTTTCGGATTGGTCGACGCTCGCGCGGCCTATTCGCGCGCTCCGAGGACGCGACGAACGACGCGCGCGAGCCGCACGATTCGCGAACGAGCGACGCGCTCGCGTTCCATCGGGCGCGCGAAAGGGGAACCGCGGGACCGCGCGACGGTCGAACGACCCTCGGAGAGTTTCCGTCGTCCTCTCGCTCGCGACCGCCGCGCACTCGACGCGCGCGCGCGCCTCCCCGCCTCGAACGCCCCGCGACCTCCGAACTCCTACGCACACGAGATCGTCATCATGCCGACGCGCCTCGTCTCCGTCGCCGGCGTCGCGCTCGCGCTCGCGTGCTCGCTCGTCGCGACGCCCGCGGAAGCGGGCGTCGGCGCG